CTTGAAATGGTTCTGCTGCCCTTATGGTAAAACCCACTGCCACATCAAAGCCACAGACATATGAACAGTTCCCTCTGAAGATTGCCCAATCCTTCGGAATCAACATGAAGGTATGATTATTACGCAGCGAAAAGGGTCAATGTGCGGACACAACAAATTTGACCTTCACTCCGCAAGGGAAGCTGGGCATTTTGGCATCACAAGAACACTCTTCGTTGACCTCCTATTGTAGCCACTGGATCCCGAAAATGACTTGATTGAAAATCCGTTTGACTGTGTAATCTGCATAGACACATGTTACGCCTGTCTAAATTTACTAATCACTATATAATCATCACGAATCACAAAAGAAGTATGCTTCGATCAGAAGGACTTCCCATCCTCGCGATCATCGCCAATATCTGTGCTGGAAGCTTCACCGATCTGTCTCGCCTCGAATCACAATCACGTGCCAATAAAAAGTGAAGTTCAGAAAGGGTTGCCAAACACGACAACAAGGTTGCGAGCAAAGAAGAATATTCAAGTAAACGAGCACTCACAAAGGTGAAACATGGCGAAAGTAGACAGGTTGGAGAATTGAATTCAAAATTCTAGGTCTATGGACTGGGTTTCCAAGGTGAGACTGTGCGAACTTGAGGCCAGGGGGGAGGTACAAAAGCTAGCAGGACTCTACTAATGTTGTACCAGAGACTGCGCAGCTGCAAGAGTAAACTGATGAACTGATGACGATGATGGTGGGTAGGAATGAATTTCATGATGATGCTGATGATGATGATGATGATGACGACGACGATGACGACGATGGCAACAATGATGATGAGAATGCTCGAGAGGAAGATGAAAATGAAGAAGGCGAAGATAAAGACGTAGAGTCGAAACCTGTACCTGCCCCAAAACCAGCTGATAATGGTGATGCAGCTGACGATGAAATGCTGAAAATGTTTTGTGATGATGGCAACCCATGGTCCAGGGGGCACAGGGGGCAGGTACAGGGGGCATCTAAGAAGGGTCGAGGGGGGTCCAGGAGGACCAGGGGGGGATTGAACCCGGGCCGGTCCGGGGGAGTCTAACTTGAAAGTTTCAGAGTTTCCAACGGTCCTGGTGCCTGCCTATTCCTTGCTAAAGCAAGCAACTTCAGCTAGCACAAGCCAGTTTTCATAATCAGTGAAGTAAAAAGAAAGACTCGTTTTGACCACTGTCCTGTGGACCCTCCGCTATCTGTTGAAACGTTTCAATTTTCCAATGACCTCAGGTGGATTGGATCCGTGAGATTCATAGTCCTCCTGGGCCCATCACTCCAGCAGGTTGACTGAAACGAATGCCCAACGAGTCCTGCTGAGCAAACGCATTAGGCCTATGCCATGTAGATGTAGGGAAATCATCCAAAGCCAAGAATGACGAGATGCAACAGAGAATGGAACGGCAAGGAGTGCACCACTGCAACCATTTGATTAAAACATCAGAACGACCAGTTCAGCCCATGTCAAAAAGTCTCAAAAAAACCACTGGTCAAAGCCCGCTTTCAGGAAGTAGAGTGCGACCGTTTTGTTGAGAAATGCCACATCCAGTCACATTGCAAACAATATACATTCAAAGTCCTCAACAGCATCTCATTGTTTCTTTGACTGTCCCTCCACTCAGATAGCCCATCACACACTAGCAGACAAGCCTGCCCCACGATGAAAGCATTCAGTGCTCTTACACGCACCTGCATTCGGTTCAGATCTCTTCCAACTTGCATGTTGTTTGTAGTTCGATCACTTGAGGAATTGACCTAAAGAGAAATATTGGTGAGTTTTTGTGGACCTATCAGGGAAGACCAAAACAATCAAGTAAACCCATGTTCCAGACGTGGCACGGACAGGCTAAAACATGGCAAAACCTGCAATCATACCAAACATTTCAAATAAAAATCTGAACTAATTCATTTATTTCATTTCATTTCCAGCGTGAAAGGGAGTCCCTTGCTGCGCCATGCAACTCTCTAATTATAAATTCACAAAAATCTGAACTAAACCCCAAAAAAACAAGCGAAATCCATATCTCATCACTCCCAGTTTTCAGCCTCGAGATTCTCCTGTCCAAAGTTTGAACAGTCCAAGGCCAGGCCGGTGATGCTGGAGTCCCTGAGCACCAGGTTTTGAAAATTGGGTCTGAATCCATTGGTGTTTCAAATTGCAGATATCATCATCATTTTAATAAGATACAAACATTGAGAAGTTGTCATCATTTTAATCCGTTTCTCTTGAAATATGCCTTTTGAGAATCCATTTTCAAACAGACCCTAATGACTGGATTGAGCCTTGTTCAAAAATTGCAATTTTGTGTGAGTGTTTATCTCTAACAAAGTCCACTGGCCGCCATCCAGCCCAAAGTATCCTTTACTTGGTGCTCTGCCAACACGTGGGCAATTTTGCAGCAAACCCGGTGGCCAAAAGGAGAAACCTCAGCAGGTCCATTGTTTTAAAGTTGATGCTCACCACTTGGGTTTCGAACCTCG